TCATGGGAATCACTAAGAACCACCTAGCTAAATGTGACTACTCCCTTACCTGCAGTTTACTTGCTTGCTTGTTGTCTGAGTTGACAAAGGGGAACAAGGAAAACTTTCAGATAAGAATCCACAGCAATCCTATGAGCAGCAAACTGACAGCCCTTCTACATGTCTTTTCTCCACAATTTGACTCTTTGCCAGACAAAGTGTGGCAAAGAGGGATTTCCTATATGACCTTGTAAGGAGTCATTCAGATCCACAATACTGTATAAATCCAAAGTGTTTTAATAATAAGGAAAACTGATTCAAGACAAAATAATTTTTCTCCAGATCAGAAGGAGCTTGATTATAATTTTACCTTCCTGGTCATGTTGGTATTTAACCTGGCTAGGCAGAAGAAGGAGCTCCACGTACAAAAGAGGCTGTGAATTTCTGTGCCAAACAAGACAACCACATTACTTGCTTCCCTCAGAGAAAGTCAGATGCAGGTCCAAAGATTTCAAAGATTTATAATGTCCTTTTCATTATCTCCGCACTTCTTTTTCTGCATTTCACAGCTCTTTGAAGATCCTTATTGGACTGAAAAAATATGTATACATGTAAAAGTATTTTTTCCCCACTGACCTAGATCTGTCCTCAAGCACAGCACTGGTGTGTTGGCTTTGCATTTCAGTCTTTGCTCTGCAAGGAATGGCCCAGTGGACATCTGGAAAAAGTAGAGTTGACTGTAGGAATCTCAAACCCATACAATGGGTTGTGTGTGAGAAAGGATCAGAGGACTTACCTTCCTTTGCTTCTAGGACTTTGCTTTGATATTTTTCAGATCACTGGCAATCGAAAGTTACTTCTGATGGCTCTGTGAGAGCTTATGAAAGGGAATATGGCCTTTTTATTCCACTTATCATGGGCTGGTAAACATAATGCAAAGCCATAATTAGCAGCGATGATTAAAATATCAGTATCCAGAGTAAAGGCTGATATGACTAGTGACTGAACTCTCTGTACCTTGTCCTGATGTGCCAAGGATAGACCATGTTGTTGTCCCTGTTCCATGGACAGAACTCACCAAGATTGTTAATCAACACATTTCACAGGCTCTTTTTGCCCATGCAATTTCTCTTTAATCCCTTGCTCCAGGACTGACAGACTTAATAGCTGCTTTTAAAATTGGAGGGAACATGAAGAAAGAACTAATTTCTAGCACGCATTATATGTAAAAATATAAGTGTTTGCTGGCATGCAGTCTTTTTTTTTCTTTTTCTTTTTTTTTTTAATATAGTTTTGCAATCTAAAATCCAGCCTGTATGAAAGGCAATTTTACCCAAAGGCAGTGCTGCTCTGAATGTCAGTCTCTGCACTCAAAGTAGAGGGCTGCTCACCACTTCATATCAACTTGTCATGAAGAAAGAAAGGAAGGAAAATGGAAAGAAAAAAGAGAGAATTTGCTCACAAGCATTAACTGATGCCAAAGAAAGTTGATAAAGGTATTTGTTCCTCGAAGCATAAGAACAAAAAATGCCTAAGACTTATTGTTGTGGATTTACTGGGACATGTAGACTTTTGAGGCCCCTTAAAGCACAGGCACTGCAGATGTTATGTGCATGGCTGCTCAGGCTTCAACATGTGGGTAAGCCTTATGCTCCATTTTCAAATGACTTTCAAAAGTGTGTTTGGGTAAATCAGTTCTTCAGCTTTTAGATATGTTTGCAACATACAAATTCAGCTCCAATATGCCAAAGATACCCACCCTTCCTTCCTTCCTTCCTTCCTTCCTTCCTTCCCCCACTTCCTCAGCAGTCCAGCTTCTGGAATTTGTTTATTTGATTATTATTTTATATGAAGAGCTAAACAATTCAAGACATTAATATAAGTTGTTCTTCATAATTTCAATTCAAATAAAATAATCTTGTAATTAGTTTTGTCTGGAAGGACTGTTATTGTACCTACTCCTTCTGAAGTTATGTCTTCATTGTTTTCTCATTTGGAGTCCACCCTTTGGAGTATTTGATCCTTGTTGTTTTTAAATGAAGGCTTGAATTTCACCATGGTGCATTTGTCCCATTTGATTTAATATTAGGAGATATAACATGAAGATATCCATTATCAGAAACTGACAAATACAAAATGTACATTTAGTTCAGTAATCGGGTTTAATTCAAGCTCCAGTCAGTAGGAGAACAATATTCCATCAACAAATGTAGCACAAAGGTGTTTACTGATCTCCATATTTTTCATAAACCTTGTAAAGAAAATCCTCTGAAGGATCTGAATTTCTATCCAGCTGAGCACATAAAGTGCTGATGAGTCAGTGCAAAGGTTTTACAAATTATATGAACATGTCTGTTGTGGGATTTGAGTTGAGGATGCCTAGGCACAGGCACACTCAAGGCATATCCTGGAGTTTCTGCAGTCTAGTTGCAAGGATCTGAAAACAACTTTCCTTGGGGCTGCCAAGGGTTCCATCAGGCAGAAACTTTTGCAATCATTAAAAAAAAAAAACCAAACCACTGAAAGCCATGACACTTCAATTGCTTAGTGCTTTAGGGTTTGCCTCATTAGTGAAGATTCATAATAATACCAGTGCATATAGATTTCACCTCAACTGCAAAACTTGCCCATGACATAGTGGGAAAAAGGTTAGAAGTTTTTGGCCCCATTAGCACTTTCACAGCTCCCCACAGGAAAGTGATGCTCCAGTGCTGCCCCATGGCTTCCTCCTCCACAGAGAGGAAGATATGGTGCCATCCCAGCAAGATTTAGTGTCACCGCATCCTCGTGCTTGCTTTGCGTATTGAACAATTTTTTTTTTTTTAAAATGTCATAAACACAGAGCTCTGGAAATGAGTTTGTGAATAGAGTCAGGGCTTAGATCTGATGAACGGCTTTAGCCCAGTCGGAGCTGCAGCTCACTGTGCTGCATCTGGTGTCCCTGCATGGGATTGGGTGGCTTGCTTGGCGAGACCCCCGCTTGGGATGGTCAGTAGGGTGAGTGCAAACACACGTCCTCAGCTTTCCTTGCTCCTCTCTAGCTAGAACATCTTCCCAGGAACAATCACCTCCGTTCACTCAGGACTGATCCTTCTGTTAGGAATATCCATCTGCAAATGACATGAGAGGAGGGAGAGGCAAACAGGACACTCTTGCACTTAAATGTAGGATCCACCTTGCACAGTCATGCCGAAGTGTCACAACAAAGCCTCAGTACTGATAAACAGGGATAGGCAGCCTGAGCAACCACCTCTACTCTCTCCTTAGACATGGCCATATTATAGAACCGTATTTTTTTAATGTCCTCACAAACCACATTATTTTCCATGTTTAGTTGAAACTGCAGCAGCACACACAGCCTCACACAGACCCTGCAAGCTTAGGATAGTGTGGGGTAGAGCAGCTCCACCATGGGGCACTGTGCTGGGAATGGGGAGAGAAAGGGACACTCAGGTCAAGGATCAGCTTCATCCCTCTAAAACTTTCCTTTCCTGAACTGGGACTGAATGAAGACTTTTGAGCATTTTAAATTGTGTGAGGCTTTGTTGTACTTCACTTCTACTTTTCCAGATACTTGGCAGAGCAACTCAAAGTATCCAGACTCCCAGTACAAATCCAGGAAATATCAAACATTTCAGAAGAGAAGGACAAAAGGTCAGACTTGATATTCAGACTAAAGGGAACTTATTAAAGAGGAACCAGCAAGGTGGGAGGTACCTTATTCCTGGAAACAAACATTCTAAATTTTGAACTGTTTGTGTATGTTTTATTATTATGTGTGTTATAACCAGCCTGTTTTTAAATGAACTTGGAAAAACCATCTCTCTTTGATAATGTCTACTGGGAAGATGAGTTTAAAAAAATTGCTGCCATAAGCATTTTCAGGGATTTAATTGCCTGCTTTGGCAGTCAATCTAAAGTCTTGATTTAATTTCTTGCATTTTGACAAGGTTATAATTAGCTTCAAACTTGTGAAGATCTGAAAAGCTGAGGTAAGCAAGTTGTCTGTAGCTGGGACCAAAGTTTTCTTGGATATCTCATTCCACATCCTCCCAAGCACCTTTCCTATGCAGTGTCTTCTGCTAATTTGTCCTGTGATAAAAATAAAATACAGAGGCCCAGCATCAATTAGTCACTAAAATATCTAGATTTTCCTTTAGTTTTCAAAGTATCCCTCTAACTTCTAATGCAGATATAGCTTGATTTTAGATCCCAAGGTGATAAAAACTGTCCTTCTCCTTTACTATTCACCAGCATTTGTAACCTGCTTGTCTAGCCCTAAAATCTGCACATGTACCGTATTTAGGAGCTGTGAATTTCTGTACAACTCATTTCATGCAGTCTCAGACAGACTCTAGGACATGGAATTTGCTTTAAACTGAAGTGGATATGTTTTATGTCAATATGTTTACACATCAAACAAAACTGAAATGCTACCTTACCTTGGAAATATATTCCAACTCAATTTACCAGGGAAATGTCATGGGTAAATATCACGCCCCAGCCTCTAGACAAATGTACTTTATTCCTTCCATGAAATGTTTGAGATCAAGCATTCTTTTGGGAAACAGTATTTCTGGATACACTCAGGGTCTGGAAATTATGCTTCTTGTTAAGTAGTAATTTATTTCTGCTATTAATCTCTGCATTTCTCTGACAGTAGGGTGCACAATAGAATTGTCTTTATGGTAATATTAGAAAAAGTTTAAAAGGTACATTTAAAGTATAACAAAAATTATCCATGTCATTATATTAACAGCAAAAAATGTAATTTAAGAGATTAAAAATGCATAAATTTCTTCTTCTGCTATCTTTTTTGTTTTGGTACATTTTTATTATTTGATTATTTTGCCACCATTTTAAAATGACACATCTGTCAGAGACCTTTCTCCAAGCAACATGTCATCCTAATCACAATAATTTCTGTCCCTCTAAGTATCCTGAAACAGTGTTCTAGGATTATTCATGCAGTTCCAGGTAAAAACAGAAATACAACTATCAAAACCCTTTTGATATCTCTTTATGTTAGCCTTTGATGCTTCCAAACACTGTAAGTAATCCTCTTTTATGTAATATCTTGGCAATATCTTGGGACTTATATACTTCTGTCACTTTGTGTCACAACATTAAATTTATTTGGATGAGGGGTGTTACGTGCATGTCTGCCTAAAACAAATGGGAAAAGACATGGAAGGCAGTAAGTTCTAAAGCATTAGACATTTTTATAGCTAATGAGTTCACTCTATTAAACTAGGAAATATAATCTATTACATTAGAAAAGATAAACACAGCTGCTTTATTAAAAAAAAAAGATTCTTTTAGTCCACATTAATCAGTTACAAAACTGAGCCATGTTGGTTAAAGGTAGATAGACATATTTATTCCTCCTCAGAGTTTCCCTGAAGAATTTCCTCCAAAGTTTTTGGCAGAGAAGACACATAAACTCACACAGGCACATAACACACTCCTGCATAGTAGATTCCATGCTGCTGCAATTCTTTGTGAATGGCATGAAGAAATCTCAATACACTGGCTATATTGTTAAGGCAGGAGATACCTTTAGTTGCTGACAAGGCAGTCCTGCAGTTTTACCCTCTCATTGAAGCAGTGTGCACAGCTGTTTTCTGAGCATAGAGTGCTGCCACTCAGTGTATGTTATAGCCTGTTAAAGGCCTGCAGTGTTAGCAGTTCTTGACTTACAATGTCTCCTTCTATCCTTCCATAGCAGGGAGCAAAGGGAAGCACAAAAAGACAGCTCCCCTCTGGCTTTTAACTCAAACAAACTGAAAGGGGTTATATAATCCTATAGCCACCTTTACTTCCATCTCACAGAAGGGAGAGACATCTGTTTCCTAGGGACTGTCTTTATCCCTAGATAAAAAAACCCAACAAACTAAACCCCTACAAAACCAAAAAACATCACAAAGCAAAACAAAACCCTCTGTTGTTGAGTACATAACAGAGTGAAAGAACAAACACATAAGAAATGGGGCATTGCTCAAGGTTAGATTTTGTCCTTCATTTAGAGTCTGAAAGAATCAACTCAGAATTTGTCTGTGGGATAAAAAAATACTAAGTAACAATTTTAAACTAACAGCTACCCAGGCCATCATGCTTATGGCTTGATGTGACATGTTACATTGAAAAAAGATACTGCTTTGAATTCATATAAAGGATACAAAAAATATTTTTCATTTGATTGTCTATGAGCTTTTGCTTCATTCTATATTTCATAATTTATTTTCCCCTCAGTAATATTATTTTCTTCATAATGAAGGCAATTAATTCTTCACCTGGACAAATAAAATTGCACGCGCATGTATACACTTGAGATTTTTATACTGATAAATGAGCCATTGCACACTTTTCAAACAACTCAATTAACATATTTTCTTTATTAAATTCCCTTTTCTAAAAATAATTTTGCTTTATAAATCTGCCACCTGTACACCACTTTTTTATGGTGAGGGATTTCAACATAAGCAAAAGGTGACTTTAATATTTTGTCCTTCAGTTTCATCTCTCTCCTTGATAATTTTGCATCAAAGAGCTGATAAAATCTCTCTGCTCTTCATCAAAGACTCAGATACCACAGAGCTCTTTTTCTGCCTAATCACATGGCTTATTCTTTTAAAACAGAATATTTACATTATATGATGCCTGTTAATATGTGAAATCTTCTGTTCTTCTGCAAACTTCTGTGAGCTGTCATCTGTGTGCATTTCTAGAAGAGTAAGAAGCATCATACGGTGCATGTCCTTCCATGACTGCCTAAAGAGAAAACTTGATGGATGGATACAGAATGGGTAGAGCTATAAATGTCACCCAGCTCCACTAACCTGGCATTGTTAAGACTCTTAGCACTGTTGTCTAAATATGTCCTCTAGCTAATCTCTCCAAGTCTTGTTCCATGTCTCAAAGCAGATCAAGGACTTTAGGTTAAGCAAAGAAAGCACCCAACCTTTTCTTCCAGGCACTGCATTTCCCACCCAACAGTGCCCACACTTTTTGAGGTCTGGAATAGGTATAATTACCTCAATTTGACGTATTTCATTGGTTTTGCAGGCATATGCTCCATTTTTTTTAGGTGCAGTACAGTCTGAGATACAGACCTCCATCACACTGTGTGTTGCAAGACATGGCACAAATGAAGGTTGGTGATGCCAAGGAAATAACATTTTATTTATCTTTCAGAACAGCTAATGTACTCTCTTAAGGAAACTTAGAGGTTCTGTTCATGATGCTTTACATCTAGGAAGGATTCTCCTGCAACTTGAATTTTAGAAAGGAACAGAACCATTTAGGTCTAATTCAGTGATAAAATAAGTTCTCAGTGTGAGCATTTTCTTTGAATATTCCATTGATTTCTAAATTTGAATTTCCAGTAACCACGAAATTTAAGTCCCACATATTAATATTCTGTGAAGATGTATGTTTTGGCTTAAAACAAAAAAAGAAAATTAATAACTGTATAATGTTTCTTATTTTCTACATGACCTCTATGACTCTCACAGACACATTACTTTTTCTACATTTTATCCAAAGGAAATAAAAATAGATGCAGTCTCTCACAGGCATGAATCAGTGCAGAGCCTCCTCCAAAGTCTAGGCAGGATGACATGCAAGATCCACAATGTATGTCACCTCCGTCTGCAGAGACACAGAAATAACAGCTTTGGTAGCAAGCCAAGACAGCAGCTCTCTAAGCAAAACCTGACAATTCTATTGTTTCTTTATTTTCTCACTTCTTTTCTTCAGCCCTCATCTTTCACTGTGTCTTGTAATTCCCAAGCCTATTAACTACTGAGATTGGATATTACTGCATTTGTAGAATAAATTCTTCTGTAAAAGAAAGTGTTTGAAGTGTTTTAGTCTATTTTAACAAGGAAGAACATGAACAAGATGTACAATAACTGAAGCACTAGAAAATACATATGCTTCCTTCAGAAAGCACAACTGTTTTACCATACATGGAACTCCTGCAGTGTGGGGCACCACAAAACTTGGAAAAAATTTTCTTGGGGTGACATCCAAGTCCCTGAGATTTCGATTCACAAATATGTTACTTGCATGAGTGTTTCCTTAATAGTGGACCCCCATTAGGAGATGCCTCTGCCATTATTATTCTGTAATATGCCAATATTATTCTGAAGGTTTGGTTTCAGCATGGTCTATCCCCTGTGAGCTGGTGCATGAATATTCATACCTCTTAAAGGAGGCAATCCATACCACCCATCTTCCAAGATACATTTCTCAGACTGGTTCTCAGGAGCAGTGGGGTGAGCTATAACATGGCACTTGGTCTCTACCAAGCTGGGAGAACTTTCCAGCTTCCTACTATCACCAGCTGATCCATTCACCAGGAGTTTGCCTATTCTGTGTTTGGAAATAACACACTGCTCTGGGTGACATCCACTGCCAGCCATGCCCTTCCCACCCCAGCATTCCCAGATCAAGGCAATAAGGGCACAAGCTTGCTGGGGGGGAAGCCTGTTCACCTCCAAATGACAGATAAAGAAATGCCTGGGCATTGTGCTGAATACTGGGAGATTTATTTTCTTTTGTTGATTGTTTTTTAACCTGGTAAAGAATAGTAAACTCATGGAAATCAGCTGTGCAGTTCAGGCACTCATGAAGCATTATAGACAGTTCAGACATCAAAAAATACAAAACAGATATGAATCATTTACTAGGACCATTTTTAAGATGGCAGAAATACATGTTTCCCCATCTAAAACTTAATCAGTGGTTTAAGCAGTCACAGATTTTCAATGGGAGTTGACCTTACTTAGTTTTAATTTTGCATCTTTCAATATTTCTTTGTAAAGCAAGATGTCTTTTGCCATATGTTAAAGTTTCTCCTCCATGCCATTGTTTCCCTTCACATTGACCTGTTCAACACATGTTGAAAGCTCTCTGGAGAGGGAGTGGCTTGCTTTGGGGTGCTTGGAGCTCCTTGCTCCTGACCCTCTCCTTTCCCTAAGTTAGGTAAAGTCCTTTCCCTAGCTCTGATTCATTGCAACTGACTTTTGCAGATGGGTTCATAATGGTACACAGGAATGAATTTCAGGATACCTAAGGAAACAAAACCATCCATTTTGTTTGCTAAATTATTTTGCAAGGGCATCTGAGACATCCATGCAGAAGGGATTAAAAAAATGCAAGAAAGGGATAGGGCAGAGAGCTAGGGGAAGGGCTACTCTGTAAGTTGTTCTTGCTTGGGAATGTGAGACTCAGTTCTTTTGATTCTGGGAGTCACAGTTGTGCTTCTCTGTCATTATTGTCTCTGCTAGTATTGTCCTTTCTAGTCTTGGCACTGCAGATATCTGTTGCCAAGCTGATGTCTTATTTTGCAATACCTCAGCAAAAGTAGGCAGTTGTAGAACTGACTCTGACAATGATCTGCTAAATGTCTGGCAGCCCATAAGGGATTGTTCTGCTTTGGAAGGCATAATTAGTACTACTCCAAATGTGTAGGAGGTGTTTCACCTTCATGAATATATTATGACATATTTTCACATTCAAACTCATATTATCAGTTTCTGCCTATTGGTGATGTTTCTATTAAATATTTCCCATCAAATCACGTGCAAAATAAGTAATTCACTTTTACTGGTGTTATAGCACCCTTTTTAATTCCCCTTCTTTCACCACAATTTATAATCTTCTAATCTTTATAATCACTTTTTGCCCATCAAAATTGGACAATCTTCCAATGAAGCTCTGAAACTGGACTACATAAAACAAAACAAGTCATTCAATACAGAATTAATGTCACAGTATTTATAAGAATATCAGTCTGTACCTGTCTCTGTTGACAGAGCTTTGCTCTGCTTCATATCCTCATTTCCATATATGTACCTTGCTCAGGCTTTTAGGATCTCCCAGTCCTGATCTGAAAGAACAATATCTTGTCAAATCAGTGAGGTCTCATCCTTACAGTTAATTATACATACAGATATTTGTGGATTTTCTATTCCTGAAATAGTGTAGGAAGCATGTGGAAGTGGTGAAAATGTAGAAGTCTAAATAAGGAAAAAAGGTAAGGATTAAAAACTCATAAGGTGCAATCAAAGTAACGAATTAGGTTCGCTCTTCAATATGAAGAAAGGTTTTCAAGACTGACAAATTATAAGGAAGAAACAACCAAGTATTCATTTTTATAAGTTATTTTCCTTTTAAAATCATTCAGTGAATATATTCTAATGAAAACAGAGAACCAAAAATCACACTTTTCGAAGACCTTAACTTAGTACTCAGATTGTAACTAAATCAAAAAGACAAAACATTTTGCAGTATGTGACGAGGATTTTCCTGAATCTTTTGCAGATGTTCATCCCTGCTGCCAGTTTCAGGTCTAAAAATTCTAACAGAAAAAAGTCATGACTTTCTTTTGTAGTAACAAGGGCTATAATTCATCCAAATTCCTGAAACATTTTTAGAAGAGAGAGTACAGGAGAGCACCAAGGATTGTATGGTACCTTAGCAAGATAATTGAAGATCACAGAAGAACACAGAAGTCAGTGTACTGTGTCAGAGTGAACTTGATATCTTGGCTTTGGGTCCTATGCTCCTACTTTTTTGTCTGCCTCTTCCCATTTTCTTCATCCCACAACTGTTCTCAAACCTGGTCTCATCACAACTGAGATCTGAGCACGGCCTCTTCCCTGTCAATCAAAGATAATCTGTCTGTTCTTATCCTAAAGGTGACAGGTCCATTGAATTCTACTGCTGTATGCTACAGCCCCAATCTACCCTGCAACCTGCTTTATACTAATCCAATATAATCCTCAAAAAAACCAACCCCTCTTGCAAATTCCTTTTCTCCTGCTCATGTGATTGCTAATCCAAAATCCAATAATGTTTCTGCTGTCATTTAAACCTCTGTGCTGTTCGGAGTAGTTTCTGTTCTGACCTGCCAATGACGTTAGTCCTGGACTAGAAAGGAATTAACTCCTTGGCAAATGGTAGTTATATGGTAGTACTGGAGTAAAGGCATTCTGAGGAGGGGAGACTGCCTATGGAGTGTCTCTGGAAGAGTATGAATTAATTTTAGGCTACCTTTTTCTGTAGAAAATTGTGTGTTGCTCTTTTGACGCATTAACCAAAAGCACAAATACATTTATATTTAGAAATTAGTGGAGTGGTTTGGTATCACTGGTGAGTACTTCTCTCACTACTGTGTTTTGAGTAGTTCCTGAACTCCTGTGCAAAAGCAGAAAGTTGTCTCTCATAGCCCACTGAAACTACTCTGACCAGAATCTCTACAGATAGTTCTGCAGCAGGGTCAGAACTCAACTCCATTCATAGCAGCGTGACAGCTAGAGTGACAAATATGTTTTATGGCATCAAATCTTCCCTCACTCTCAGTGACACATTTCTCCCTTCTATTCCCAAAAAGCTTCCACCACTTCTGTCCGTCTTTGAAGGGGCTCCAATATTAATCACTTGTTTCCACCTAATTTCTGTTTGTCTCACTCAAAAATTAGTTCAAATGTCATCTCTCTGATGCTTACCTTAGACTGACTTCTTAACTCCAGATTCGATTTCTCATATGTCAAGTAAAAATATATAATTTTTCTGACATCTTCTCATGCTTTTGAAGGGAATTCAGAAGGCACTGGAAAAATGTGGAATTTCATGGCATTTGTCTTCTGTTTATTAAAGTCTCTGGGTTTTCTTGTGTGACCAGGGATTGTTGGGTTCATCATGTCATCCCATGAAGAGGGCAGGCAGGAGGCAAGGGTGTTTATTAGACAAAATCTGTGAACAGGAGGCCTGAACAGGAGGCCACCTTTAGATATTTCACATGGTGCAGCAGTTACTCATTTCTAAATAAAAGCTCATGTTCAAACTGAACTGATTTGTGTAATATATATCTGTACTTTCATTTTACTGATTATATATTTCAGTTTAAAATATAATTTTAATTTTCTAGTCTGTTATGTTTTATAGTTTAATAAAACTGATGATGCTCAGAATTTCAGGGTCTCCTTTGAGACATATACAAGTTATAGGCTTTCTCTGGCTTGATGGCCTGTGTTTAAAATGCTGTACTTAATGTTTCTTCCTCTTATGCCTATCTCTAAGAATACTAAATTAAAAATACCTGTTAACAATAGTAATATATTTTGACATTTAAATACTTACTCTATTATTAGTATGCTCATTCCTTTGCTGAAAATTGTGATTTTGCAATGATTTCAACAGAGACTGAGCTTTTTTGCTGGTAGTGTATTCATTACAAATGGTTAATTCCTTTCAGTATATTCACAAAAAAGGCAGAAGCAGACATGGCTTAGGGAGAAGTACAGGAAAGACTTTTAATACTACTTTGTGTTGTTGATGTTGAAGAGCACATAGATAATTTATTTTCATTCTATTAGATGTTTGCACTGACAACCACACGTTTCTTAGCAGGCTCAGATCTCACACTTTGACTGTCTGCCTTATCACTCCATCACCAACTCCTTCCTGCTGAACCACTGTGCTGAACCTTGACCTGTAGAGATTAGCTCACCCTGGAGAAAGGGGAAAGGGTAATTTGGTCTCCCAGTCCTTTTGATCTAATCTTTTCTTCTCAGACTTTCAGGCGGATTACCAGAAGATGTAGTCTGCTATTATTTTAGTGACTTTTCTATATTTTATATTTGTTCTTTCCTCCAGCAGAAGAGTAAGTAAATGATACCTTCTGGAACGTGAAACAGTATTATTGGATTACTACTGATGATATGAAAGTAGAAGATAATAGCTGTTGTGGAAGCTATATAATCTGTTAAACTGATGGCAAAACTACAAGGGCAATACTGTAGATTCTGAACATACTTAGTAAAAAGATGCCAGAATGACTGAGGACATTAAATGCAACAAAATTACTTTAAAAGAATGGTGCAGATAGTAAAAAGCCTTGTATTTCTCTGTCTTATGCCTAATACTGCCAGCCATTCAGAAGCCAGTTATTCCCTTCTGGCTACAATGGCACATACTTTGATGTTCAGAGGTATGAGATTAAAGGATTGTAGTTACCACCAACAGTGGCAAATACTTTGATGCAACACTTTTGTTCAAACCTGCACAAAAACATAATAGAGTAGCACAAAAGTAAATTAATTTTAAAAACCAACATTCCTTAATGTTTTTAATGTCTTAAATGTAATTAAAGTCTTTAAAGTTGCCTGAGACTCTCTGGATTCCAATTGTATATGACAGAAAAATTAGACTTTGCAGTTCTGAATGACTTAAAAATAAGTATTGTGGGATTTAAAAAGAAATTATACTGAACCCTGACCTGCAGAGCAAATGTATATGCAGTTTTCTCACTTTCTTGGAGCACCACATATAAGTTTTTCCAGATTTTATTCACCAAAAGGACAAGTTTGGGAGTTTTTTTGTTGTTGGTTTTGTTGTTGATGTTGTTGTTTTGTTTGTTTGGGTTTTTTTTTTTGTGTGGTTTTTGGGTTTTTTTTTTAGTTCCTGGTGGGGTTAGAAAAAAAAAAGTAGAGTTTCAGTAGGAACACAGAAGACAATGGGTTTTATGGTCACGTAGAATAATATCAGTAATAGAACCCAAGGCAAGGCCTACAGGATCCAATTGCACTCACACTGTGTGGAGCAGCTCTGTATTGGAACTCTGGTCCTGTGCACTTTCCTAGACAGTGAAAGTACAAGGTGCTCCCAAGCTCATCTGTATTGCAGTGCCCATTCATCTATTCTGGATATCCTCAAACTGATCTATGATCCTCCTAAACCTATCAGGACATTATTCAGTGCTGTCCTAGCCCAATACCTGCCCATGCAGTTCACCTTTGCCCGCACTTCTGTTCAAACTTTCTCACCTCCATTACTCACCTGGCGCTGTCAGTTGGAACTCTCTGCAGGTCTGAAAGTTACAAAGTACCAAAAACATCCGTTGGGCCACTTGCCCTTTTAATCATGTGAATTGATTATCTCAATCTGACCTCAATAAGACTCCTGCAGCTGTGAGCCACCACAGCAGATAATGGAGATTACTAACTCCCAATTTCTCAGGTGACTTCTCATGTGTCATAAACAGACAACACAGTATATCACATCTATTAACCTACATTGCGTTTTTTCCAACAGTTTAATTATGAAACAACAAAACATTTTTAGGAGGTGTTTGGGCCTTTAAGTATTTGCCAATTAATTACAATCTGCATGTACCATATTGTGGTCTGAATTCAAACATCTGCTCTGTGTTCTAGATGTTCTGGAAATAGTTTATTTTTAGATTGTATTTTCACCCACTTAAGTAAAAGCAATGCCATGCTTCATATTGTTCTTAGACTTACAGCTTTCTGTCAGGACAAACATATACACATCCTCAGGATCAATGTTTGGGAGATGAACCTTTTGTTGAGCACACATTTCCCTTTAATAAGGCTCTGAACCTGCTGACTTGACAAAGCTGATTGTTAAGTTTCCTCTCCACAAATAAAACATTTTGCATTTTGCTTTAGCTACAGTATTGTCCAGTGACTAGATGTGAATAGCTGTTAAAATAAGCCATTATTTCTGCAGAGACTATTGGAAATTTATCTTGTGCAGAACACCAGAACAGAGGGTTGCATGGGCTTTGTTTTACTGAAGCTTTTAAGTTGCTCAATGAACTGTGATCTTTAAAGAAGCCTGACTTTGATAGCTTTATGTCCTATCAGATTCTCATCAAAACCAGTGCTAGGCAAGGATCCCATTACTGTTCAAAAGCTTTGTTAATGAATTATAAGCAACACGAGACGACATGGCTGTGTCCTGCCATTTTTTCTTACTCTTCAAAGCTCAGTCTTAATTCCTTCTGCCAAAGCCCATCTGCAAATCCAAAGCCTTTGGTTAGGGAAGAAAACTCTAAAAGGTTACCACAGTCTTACAATCTCTTGGGTTCACCAACAATCTTGAGAGACTCAGCCTCTGCCTAGTAGTTATACCACTTTGTACTTGCATTTGCAAAATTTACATTGTAGGTTTTTTGCAAGCTAAGTTACTAATTGCAACTGGACTTTCAGTGTG